TTAATTGGTCAAAAATTAGTAAAACAAACGAGAAAATATAGCAAATGGGTAGACTAGACATTAATTGAAAGCGTCCTGGCATTTAAAGTATGGAATGAAATATAATTTATGTAAAAAATTGTTGACTTTAACGGACACGACTTCGAAAATTTTTGCAAAATTATTCAAAGCAAAAATTCAAACTCAAAAGTTAAGAAAACTCTCGAAAAGTTAAGCTTCTTAACCCACTCAAATTGTAGAATAAATCTAAAGGTTTAATTACTGTGAACACGAAATTTTTTTGTATTTGGCGACACAGTTTTTTTTAAAGAAATGTATCTCAAACGAAAATTCGGAAATTGTCGTTGCTTAGTTGATAAACAAAATGTTTCAGACGATAAATTTGTCAACAATCACCTTTAGTTCATGTTCTTGTACAATACAATTTCTTGAACCTTCTGGCTATATTTATTCCTAGTTTTTAGAATGACATGTTTATTTTTGCGCTCGAAATCTGGCTGTAAAGACGCGCAATGAAGTCACTCCTTTTTACCGCCATTTTTAGCCTTCGGAAACGTTCGAAACAGCTTCTCATCAAGTTCGCAATACTATTACAGGTAAGGTTGACGCATGCGCAGACGTTTTTCCGCGGTGTTGATTTGGGCCGAAAGTGGTGCATTTTCCCATGCGTAATACACATTTTCCATAATAGGCCTACATAATAAAACATTTCCGCTTTTAATCACAATACAAAAAAATATAATCAACTACCCAAAACACATCCTTGAACTACGTATACCTGATACAACAACTGGCCTTATTTGTTTCGAGAGACCCGCACAGAAATGGAAAAGAATCATTTTACTCAAACGCTAGCAGAACATGTTAAAACCTTTCTATTCTCAAGATGATGAAACAACTAATATTGAAATTGCCCTAAGAAATATCGATACAAAACCATAATTAATACAATAAAAGAAAAATATTTTGAATTTTGGAAACACAAAATAACGAAATCCCCAAAACTGTCCTTCTTTTGTCAATTCAAAAAAGATTATAAATTAGAAGACTATCTACATCTTACAAAAAAAACAATATAAAGAAAAAATTTCTCAAAATTTAGAATCAGTAATCACAAACTCGAAATTGAATACGAGCGATACAAAAACATTCCACGCGAACAATGTCATATTTGTAAACTTTGTAACTCCGGCGAAGTAGCAGATGAATTTCATGTTGCATTTCCATGCAAAACAGATGAAACTTTAAGAAACAATACAAATGACATATTAAAAAATTGAGTACAACATCTCAGACTAAACAAAAACTACTAGGACATCTAATGTCCTTTAATTTAAGTGACATTGTTCTCATTAACCTATTCTCTAAATTTATCTCTCTCTCTGTATGCTTAATAGAGCGAGAAAATAGCCTCAAACTGGCCCATGGAAAATACGACTGCAGCTAATTTCAAATTCATTGCGAAAATTATACTGCAAATTCTTTTCCAATTTTTCATAAAAAGCCCTTACTTAGAAACTACGAGTACGATCTATATCATCCATAAAATAGATGTATAATGACACTTTAACTTTATATATGTTCGTTTTTTCAATACCTTGTACTGTATGTAATTATATATATAACTTTATACATGTTCGTTTTTTCAATACCTTATTGTACTGTATGTAATTATATATATATAATATATATAATTAATATATATAATTAACATATATATATATATATATATATATATATATATATATATATATATATATATATATATATATATATATACAGGGTGTATCAAAAAAAGCGCAATCCTCGACTGAAATGTAAATTGCTAAACAAATAATAGACGAAAATGTTAAAGTTTACATTCATTTTAAAGCGTAGCCATTCAGCTTTCTAACAGTGGGTTATTTCTTAAATTTGACTCATTGGTTCGCGGGTAATAATACTTTACGTTATTGCGATTGGAGATTAAAAAAATTGAGATGGAATAACAAATCGTTCTCATGAAAATAACTGATTTTTCATTAAAACAAAAAAATGTTGCATTTTATTAAATGGATTGTAACAATAAGTATAATTACGGCTTTTCTTCCACTATTTTTAACTCAGCTTGAAACTTCAAATGCGATATAATTTTGGCTTGGACCATCTAAGCTGACTGACATCAACTTGCTATAATTTCTGTTTACATTACATTACATCGCAATTCGATGACACTCTGGCTCAGACACCAGAATGTTTTGACGATTTTTAGCATTCGTTTAGATTTTCAAACAACCTGGTCTCTTTTAAAATACTTTTAATTTGTTCTTACGTGGTTTTCCAGATGTAGTGACGACAACATTAAAGTTTAAAGAAGAAAATTCTAACATTTAAACCGACTAAACAATAACATAGTAAACTTGCATAATTAAACAGCAACTAAAAATGATAGGTTTTACTAAATCTTTTCCTGTGCAATTATTACTAGCATTGGAGACAAGGGTAATAGTTTGTTTGAAAGAGAAAAGAACAAGCTTTGAAGTAAGCCTAAAAGCGTTTAACTAGAAATAGTATTTCGAAAGTTATTAAGCACAAAAGATGAATTGCGTTTATTTTGATACACCCTGTATATATAAACCTTAATACTTTCATAGTTTCATAGAGGATTTATAGTATGATAGAGGAGGATTTATGGTATGATAGAGGATTTTAGTTAAGCAACATGCTATATTTGAAGCTTTAACTATATTTTCCAAAGGAATTCCCATGAGTATTTAAACACCAGACATTTGTTAAATACTTGTGTGCATGCAGCACATGACTGAATGTCTGAATCGAACTAAAGTAAAGAAAATAATAATACTTCAGATTCTATACCTCAAGGTACATACCTTTTGCAATTAAAACATTGATTAACATAATATCATGCAAAGAAATCATACATGATCTTTCATCTTTATATAAATATCCAGTTGTAAGAATGAGTATCAATAAAGATTCGAATGTTTTGAAAATTACACAAATTTTCACTAAGTGAGTTGTTCTCGCGTGTACCACGAACACGAAATAAACACGCAACTAGACCCAGTCCTCTCACGGTCACCTACCTCTCGTCCATCCCCTTTAGCCATAGGCCATAACCCTGCCTTCACCTTGGTCGGCACTAGATCATAGACAAGATACGTACATATCTGAAACTGCAATACATACGAGTCAGCGGTATTTCAAGTGCAGTAAACTTTATATAAACGCAATAAACACATCATTACAAATGACGCATTACAAATAAACAAACTACAAATGGAGATTTAAAAATTGTATATAGATAAATAGGTACGTGCAAAGCGAAATATATATTTACTTTTATTACCTATTTGGGGTTAATTTTAAAATCATTTTAACTCATTAATATACCGTAGCCAACGTGTTTTTATTTTCCAAGGGAAAAATGTAGCCCATGTGGCATACTATTTATTAATAATATTGGTGACAAATTCATAGGAAAACACATGGTGGTCAACTTTGCACGTTTGTCGCTTTATATGTCTTGTGGAAGCGAGCAAATTTTGTTAAATGTTCTGTATTTGCTATTGAATACAAGGTGAATTAATATAATGAATAATGAACTCAACCCAATAACTGTGTTTCCTTTTGGAGTTGACCACCAAGTGCTAACAACTTGTCGCAAACAACGTGTCAAACTTGGTAACGACTGCTATTCTGAATGGGGAACTATTCCATCTGGGGTTCCCCAGGGTACCAAACTCGGGCCGTGGTTATTCGTTATCATGATAAATGATTTGAAAATCCAAGATTCGGAACTCTGGAAATACGTCGATGACACAACGATGTCTGAAATTGTTGAAAGAAACAACGAATCCAACATACAGGAGAAAGTTGATGAACTTACACGACATATTTCTATTGATAAACTTACGTTAAACGAGTCCAAGTGTAAAGAGTTACGTATTAGCTTCAGTAAATCTCCTCCCGATTTCGATCCTATTACCATCAACAATAAGCAACTGGAGGTCGTTGAAAGGGTAAAACTCCTTGGCATGCAGATATCTAACGATCTTAAGTGGAATAGCCATATATCTGTTATTATGAAAAAAGCGAATAAGCGTTTGTATTTTCTGAGCCAACTAAAACGTTCGAACGTGGGCAGTAAGGAACTTATTATCTTTTACTGTACTTGTATAAGACCTGTTACAGAGTATGGCTGCCCAGTATTTCACGATAGCCTGCCAAATTACCTTGTTAAAGACATCGAAAGAATACAGAAACGCGCGATGCGGATAATATTTCCAGCCTTATCATATGACGAATCTCTCTCCGTTGCTGAGTTGGTCGCTCTAGAAGCACGAAGACAGCAACTAACAGACAAACTATTCCAGCAAATTATTAGCGACCCAAGTCACAAATTGAACAAACTTTTACCACCTGTAAACGAATGCCAAATTAAGCTTAGGAAGAAACGACTTTTTAAAAATCAGCTTTTTAAAACAGACCGATTTAGGAATAGTTTTATAACTCACAATGCACTGAAAATGCACACCTAGTTATAGTAGTAGACAATTATAGTCAACTTATACGCACATTGCCATTTGGCTCCAAACTTTTAAAATTTTTAATAGTTATTCTAATTTTAAACTATATGTAATTCTTAGCGTAATTCAGCTTTTGGCTGCAATGCTTTGCAAATAAACCATCTATCTATAAACCATCTATCTACATGATTCAGATTGAAACCCAACTATGGTTGCATCACTGTTTAGTCTGTTAGTCACTCTTTTAATCTGCCTTGTGCAATGGTAGCATTTGAATCTTGCAGTCCGGCTTGGCTAATTGACTATTAGAGCAACATAAATAATAAATACTTACTAATAATTAGTAATAATTATTAGTTAGAAATATTAATAATACTTTATTGCTTTAGGGAATACTATACAGTAACCCAGCCAGAGCCGGGCGGACCCCCCCCCCCAGTAAATGTTGCCCCCTCCTGAGCTGTCCCTCCCCCTGGGTCCACAAATTTCAAAGTCTGAGTGCATATTTTTGGAAATACAACATTTGAATTTTTCTTATATTTTCCCTAGAAATTATGTACAATAACACAGTAAATTTTTAGTAAAATGTTCAAGAAAAAGGAACTTCCAACAGCAGCAGATGACACAGTAAATCTTTAGTAAAATGTTCAAGGAAAAGGAACTTCCAACAGCAGCAGATGACACAGCAAATCTTTAGTAAAATGTTCAAGGAACAGCGGCAGATAACACAATAAATCTTTACTCTTTCTAATGCTAGATGATTTTGCAACTTAATAGGTTAATGAATCAGTTGGTTATTACAACCGATTTCAACTTAATTCATATTTAACATTCACTTTATCCCATTTACTGGCAGTACTCTACCATTGATGAGTAATTAATCGTCTGGCATTAGACACAGTAAATACTAAGTTGGCACATTTGGGCACATTCAGATTGTCAGTTAATGAGTTAATATTAACAACATTAAAAACAGACTAGGGTATCAAAGGCTAAGTGGATGCTTCTTTGCCTGCAACAAAGCATAAAGTGGGTCTGCCACATGATCAATGTTAGATTTCAGCAATGAAGGGAATCAATATTTTAACAAAATAATTGTCATTAATAAAATAATTGTTAAAATAATCAATATTTAATAATAAAATAATTGAAAATATGGAGATAGCGTAGCCAGGTTTAGACATAATTAAAAACACAAACGTTCTCTGACTAAAATTTTTTCCGTCGAAGACTACAGTTAGGTAGTCGAAAGCTCGTTTTAAATAAAAAATTTTAGTCAGAGAACGTTTATGTTTTTAAATAAAATAATTGTTGTCAATTAATAAAATAATTGTTACAAATTGTTGGGTTAATAATTATTGGGTTTGTTGCCTCCAAGGAATGCATCCACCTAACCTTTGACATACTAGTCAACTGTTATTAACACGTTGTTCATATTATTATGTGTATGAAAATATGAAAAGTTGAAACATGTTGTGCTATAGCAGACTATGCAATGATTATGCATATATAATACATTAGATGACTCGAGTTACTGGCAGATAATTGACTGAAAGCCTTTTTCCATTATTGTGTATTTCTACCATTTAGTATTAGCACTTGTTTCTGACTTTCTGTTTATAGTGTTTTATTGATGTATCTTGAAAAGCCATGCAGTGATGTATATATTAATTAATTAAATAATATGAAATTGTATGAAATGTATATTATGAATGATTAGGGAACACCGGTAATTAATAATGGGAGGCAGGGAGGGGGGGGGGCAGTGGTGTAATGGAGTTAGAGGGGCCCCCTTGGTGTGGGGGTCCCTGTTGACTGTTATTGTTTGACTGAGATCTTATATTTATATTGAATATTTATCAGTAGAATGGAAAATTCTTTGTCTATAACAATGATAATAACAGTCTCCAACACATGTAACAATTAACTTTTAAGAATAACTTTTGTTCTATTTGAGATGGAATACCGTCGTCGATGGAGGGTTTATTATTTAGCATTATTAATTTTGTATTTTTTCATCGATTCGTAACCTGCATTTTTTTCATTTTCAGTCTAATTTTCTGGGCGATGTCGGGGGCCTTTAGTTTTTGAACTAACCCTACCTAGTGAGTGTTATGCCACTGAGGGGGGAGGTGGGTGAGGAAAGGGAGGCTTCAACTATTTTTGCCTGAATTAGGGGTGGCCTCAAAATATGTGACGACCCCAAATTTTGAATACTTTCCTACTCATTTTCAATCCCTTGCCTTTATTATATTGCAAAATATTTCACCTTTTTTAATTCCTATAATCGTAATTTCCACATAGTATATTACGTATATGCAGTTTATGATAGGAGTCAGAGTAAATAACCAATTTGAATACTGGTCCTCCTATTATTTAGGCTACACAATGTCCTACACCAATACTTGTATCATTACCTATTTTATACCAACTAAGTGACAAATTAAATGTTGGACGGGGGGGGGGCTTAAATTTCTAAATGAAGGTGGGGGCATCCTGAAAATAAAGGTCTTGCGATTGGGGCGGCTCCAAAAAATGTTCAATATTTGGTATCTATCACCCACCACCCCCCCTCACCCCCCACACACCTCCCATTATTAATGAGTGGTCCCCTATGAAAGGTTTTTATCCAGTAAGATTTACTATATAATTCTAAAGCACATATGCATCTTTCGACCTTTATAAAGACATACTATATTATTATATGAGTGTAGTACTGCAGTAAATCGATAAAGGTTTTATGTATGCATAATTTGGATCTTTCATATTAAAATATTGCACACACGGACGACATGGTATTCGTATGAATATTTATAAGACAAATTTACATATTGAAATTAGTTCACTTACCAAAAAGTGCATTTGATTTGATTTGATACATCTCCAACCACCACTTGTTTTTATTTTGTACTCTTCAAATTTCTCAAGCATTTCTGTTTGTGAAGCGCAAACAAGCACTCGGTCACTCTTCGATGGAAGCCATATTGCTTTGGTTTCGCGCGTTTTTTTCCAATTTCGCGCACTAATTTATTTGAATTTTAAAGACGGAATACCGCTGACTCGTATGTATTGCAGTTTCAGATATGTACGTATCTTGTCTATGATCTAGCACGGGCAATAGGGCAGGTGTAGTGTTGTTAATTATAATTATGTTTAAAAGATCAGAATATTCATACCTTCTTATTTTGTTTCATAAATAGTATTCGAAACAAATTCCATTCTACATGCTGCACGGCATTGCCGCCCCTCCTGGCAAAATAATAAGCAAGCGAGAAAAATTAAGGAGAAATAAGAGGGTAGGAACTATAGCCTCCTCCGCAGGCCTCTCTATGGGTTCTACTTTTTCCCACCACCCGATTCGTCGGGTGAGATGCCTGCGGAGGAGGCTACATGCAATCACTTTCAGAAGTTGTTGGGACACATGTAGTTTTGGCTTGTAAGTGGATCATTATAGTTTTTTACACATAGTACCGCTGCCATCCCCCTCCCTCCACCCCAATCAATGTTGTTTAAACCAAAACACATCAAACCCGACGAGAAATGAGACACAACATTGAACAGGGGGCGGGTGGGATTGTAGTTTGTTGATATTCAAAGTTTTTGTGGCATCTGTCCCAAGACTTTTGAAACTGATTGTCTGAAAGGCAATGAAAAGCATATCTAACCTCTTTGAATTACCGAATGTTTTAGAATATCAGTTTTGCGAAAATCGTATAGCATTTAGTTGAACATATTTACTGAATTGCACTGGCATATATAATGCTTTTATACTGCGCTTGTTGTGGTTAATATATTTGAAATGTAACATAATCCAGCAGACGGAACAGTATATAATAAATGAGCTTATAAAAAGATGTGATATGTGGGGAGGGACGTACGCTGAGAGATTAAACCTGCTCTATATGCAAGGGATAAAACACATCTATCTGGTTAATTATCAACCTAGGTTATTGCTGAATAAAATGCAAGGGTAAGTTATCGAAAACCACTTAAAGATTGTGCATATTTGACATGAAAATATTTATGTAATATAAAATGGTTTTAACACGTGCTCGATTGTCACTCGGTTGTCACTTTGAAACGCATAGCATTTTCATTGATATAACTTTCAATTGTCGCGGGATAATAATTTTCAGAATATTAAGTACTAAGCAGAAGTGTTTAGGAAGCGCATATTGATATATTACTGGTTCTACTTAATCACAAAGTATATAAATTGTATAAAATGTATCGATTGACACTCAACTCTAGAAATATCACTATGATATAGGAGATTTATTTATGTCGAAAAGTGTCAATCGATCCAAAACTTGGCTCAATCAATTTAAAACCCTTTCATTAATAGCAAATACATTGTTAGACATTCTCAACAAATTATTCTTAGCCTTGTTCTGATTTAAAAGCTGCCTAGTTGCCCATTATTTCATATTTCTATAGTGACAATCGAAGTGACAACCGATGTTAGTTTCATTGCATTCGTCTGGGCCGGAAACACTTATTAGCATAATTAGCGTATAACACTAACTTTGTGTTGTATAATGCGTACAACGCCGTATACAGCGAGTCCCTTTCGTTACATATTTTTGGAAGCCTGTGCAACTTTCTTGCTTCGACGGGTCGCGCGCGCGCTAGTACTTGCTAACTCGTCAGCATTATAGGGAGGTCTATAACCCTGGAGAAGTCACGAAGTCCGGGTCATTCTTTACCACGTACGAATACGCTGAATAGTAATTTTTCGGATTGTCTGACTGAGATTAATTAAATGCCGAATTTTCTCTTCTCGAGCTTTCCGATAGCTCGCCAACTTGATCTTGCAGACAATTTTTTAGCCAAGCGGAAGTGACTATATATACTATATGATACCGCCCTTTCCATTAGCCTCCAAAATTCCCACCCATTGAGTGCTCGTTCGTACCCATGCGTCGACAATTATATCTGCAAATTCTGCTCTAGAAAGATGTGAAATGTCACTTTCACTATTGGTGATAAAAATCAAACGTTCTTTACCTTCGGAGTACCCGAATTAGCAGTTGACTCAGGCCTTACCCGCATGCGAAAGTAACCGGATGTTATATTACTATGCTATAAATTAACAGTATGTGTGACATATCTAGCGTAGAACATTTGCGATACCAATCTTTATTGACGGACTATTACCTCTCAAATAACCTACTAGTGCACTGCCAAAATTTGTAGAAGCAAACAACGTATACATCCTTTGTGATTAAGAATGCATTATGATATAACAAATTATATTCATATTCTGTTAATTATTAACTTTGAGAATTTTAATAAAACTGAATTGTTCTATAATGTTATTAGATGTTCTGTGAACGAAATGGAGCTGAAATACTTCGTTCGCAGAGCATTCTATTCCCTGTACTTTTGAGATGTACAATGTTGTTACGGCATATGGGGCCCAGACAATCACTTTCAGAAGTTGTTGGGACACATGTAGTTTTGGCTTGTAAGTGGATCATTATAGTTTTTTACACATAGTACCGCTGCCATCCCCCTCCCTCCACCCCAATCAATGTTGTTTAAACCAAAACACATCAAACCCGACGAGAAATGGGACACAACATTGAACAGGGGGCGGGTGGGATTGTAGTTTGTTGATATTCAAAGTTTTTGTGGCATCTGTCCCAAGATTTTTGAAACTGATTGTAGGTAGGAACATCGTTGTCATAAGCTGGATGCAGTGACACTTCCACATATGGCACAAACGTATCCATAACTTCCATATATGGCACAAACGTATCCACAACGCGTTTTAATAACGTTTTATTTGACGTAGGGATGACGTAATGCTGCTTCCCGCCTATGACGATTTGAATTAGTCATGTGATACAAGATTGCGAAAGCCGATTCGCCCAGAACGATGACACGCCCACGAAACGCCCACAGTGTTCCTACCCTTTTATTTCTG